CTCTCGGTCTCTCTCTAGCCCTCTCCGTATCTCTTTCTCTCTCTCCTTTTTTCTCCCCCCCCCTCCCTCCCTCCCTCCCCCCCTCCCTCCTCCCCTCCTTCCCTCCTTCCTTCCCTTCCCCCCTCTCTCTCATTGCTTTATTGTGGTGCTGAGTATAGTACTTGCTAGGCTCTGCTAGCTCTGTCACTGAACTCCATTCCCAAACCCCAAGGCTGGGTTCTACCATGTAACCAGACAGACAGACAGACAGACTCAGACTCCTTTTGCTTCTGCCCCAGCTCCCCCAGGGCAGGGATTGCAGGTGTGTGCTATGGTACCCACATCTTAAGTACTTGAACTGTGTGTGTGTTTTCCTGCTGACTTTCTGTTGGTCTGTACATTCTTGAGGAGATTGTATCTTTCTTTTTTGTATATTTTCTCCGTGTTGCAGTTTTTTCCCCCAAGGGCTGATGGTTCAGCAGACTGATAATAAAAGAAGCTGTGTCTTACTAGTTGATACACTTACTCTCTGTGCCTGGCCCCTGCTCTCCATCCCCTGAGAGTCCCAGCATAGAAGGGAGTCTCTTCTACGCGTCTCCCACTTGGTCCTCTTGGACTATGGATGGAAAGTGTCCTATTTAAGCAGTGATTCTTAAGCCTTGATTTTATAGTCAAGCCTCACTGTTATTTTTAACTTTAAGCCGGATTTTCTTGAGTCATATTCATTGTTTCCCTTTAACTGAGATTATAGTACCTTCCCAAGGACCAGTCTTTTCACTGAAATTTTGTGAGGCTACGTGCATGCACAGTCTAAATCTAGGACAGAAAATGGAGTGACACTGTCACATTTTCCATGTCAGGAATTCCTGCCATACCGGCACATTCTGAGGATGAGATCACTTTTCTCAGTTTGGGGTCAGAGCACTTCCGTTATTAACATTTTAATTTCTCCAGAGTGGGAAGTTTTAGCTGTCTCTCTTTTACATGTCTGAAGTCTTACCTTGTAGCTCATCAGACGCCAGGAAAATCTATGCGTTTATTTACACATGTCACATTAGCAGTTAAGTGAAATCTAGATTTTCTCTGGTGCAGTTGGGCCAGCTTTTGATCTACTTTTGCAGCATTGCCATCTGGTGGCCAAAGGTAGTATCTGCAGGAAGTTTGATAATGACTGAACTGAAATACATATGCCTATTTATTTATTCATTTTAATTAGAAAATTTTCTTTTGACTTACTCTCTTGGGCCTTGAGTTTGCTGTGTAGAGCAGGCCTGCCTCTTCCTTCTGTGCTGGTATTAAAGGTGTGCATAACCACAACCCGCCACATCCTGGAGTCTGATGGACTTTTTCGCTTAGGCAAATTGAGTTAGAAGATCATGTCTGCATCTCAGGAGAAGGAGACGTCCATGTATATTCAGGGCTTGGTTTCTGTAGTTACACTTTGCTTGAGCTGCTAAACAAGTAGAAGCACAGTTTAAAGTGGTACATGCAAATTGCACATGAACTTTTAGAGAGAAATAAAAAATTTAAATTCAGGATAATTCTTGAAATCTGTTCTGGCTAGAGGTTGCTTCAAAATCTGATATCTCTCCTGGAGGCAAGTACTATTTGTCTCTCCTCCTACTTTTTGCCCCCTCCTTTCCACCTCCTCTTTCCCTGCTCTCTCCCTCCTCTCCTCCTTCTCTCTCCTTCCTCTCTCTCTCCTCTCCCCCTCCTCTCCCCTTTCTCTCCCCTTCTTCTCCCCTTCCTCTCCCCCACTTCTCTCCTTCCTCTCCCCTTCCTCTATTCTTCTTCTCCCCTTCCTTTTCCCCTTCCCTCTCCCTCCTCTCCTACTCCTCTTTCCCTCCTCTCTCTCTTTTCCCCTTCCTCTCCCCTTCTTCTCCCTCTCCTCTCCTCTTCCTTTTGTCTTTCTTCCCCTGTATTTATATAATTTCCATCTCTATCTATAGCTTAAGCACTTTGGATTCTTAACCTTTGGTGTATTCTTGAGATCATGTTGATGCACTGGTTAAAGAACCAATAGTGTTTGTTTGATACAGTAAAACCACCTTACCATTTACATTTGTGGATTCTTAGTACTGGACGATTCAGAAATACTGGGTATGGGAGAAAACACCAAAGTTCTTTTTCCATGTTGCTGATTTTTGCTTGTGGTTTTAGGGGCTAGTGAGAAACATCCATGATTTTTCTTCTTCTCAACATTGTAAGTAGTTGAGAAATGAAGAAACAGTTGACTGGTTCTGAAAAAGACTGAAGAGAAGGGCAGGGACGGCCTGGCTGCTCGGTAATGAGTGTCAGCACCACTGCTGTTCTGGGAGGTGGAAGTAAGAGGCTGGGTAAAAGTCCAGGGTGTATTTCCTGTTCCTCTTAGAGAAATTTGCTTTCCTCCATGGAAATATGAAAAAGGGGGAGGGACTCGGTGTTCTCCCAACACCTCCAAAATCATTGGAGTAATCAATGAAACGTAAGGCAGGAAAATCCTGTGCTTTCTTTGGACTGAAATCTCGTAGGTATTTATTTCCATTTGTTATGTCTGTAGATGCAGTTTTCAGCTGCTGGTAGAATGAGAGACTTTGATTAAAATGTTTTATTTTTTTGTAATAACTAGAAAGCATACATGTTATGATATGACAGGAATAGATTTTACTTTAAAAGATGGTTTCAGGGTAAGTAAATCTGAGATTTTGAAAGTTTCAGAATTGACATTTCACATTAACCTATTTAAAACAGGGTTCCAAATCTGAGCTTTTATTTCATGTATCAAGTGGGCTTAATAATGTTACTTTACTTTTATGATGGGAATAAATTTGATTCATCTTGTGAAAATGGTTTTTAAACTTGTATTTATCCATACAGGTAAAGGCTCAGGAATGCTTGTCCACTAAAGGTCTTTGATGCTTTGTTTTTGGCAGAAAGGGAAGTCATCGTCCCCATGGTCTGGAAGCAGTCCCCCCCACCCCCCGCATTGTCAGTTGTTTTAAGATATTTCTGTGTACTTTTGAGGTGTGCCCGCTATGGCAGCCTCTCTTTCTGGCTACTGAAGAGCAAATTCTTGTTTATCGGCAAAGCTGTCACCAACTTGTTTGTATTGGGTTCTAACTTGCACAAGTAACCTTCACTGTGAAGAAGCTATGGGATGCCAGGATATCAGGCATGAAGATGTTTCAGTTCCTATAGTACAGAAGTAGCTGCCTATAGCATACTTATAGCTGCCTATATATAGTATAGTGTCTACCTGCCTATTGAACAGCGTATAGTGACTATATCAGAGTTTTGTCTCACTGGAAAAATGTTTCCAGTGACATCATTGTTTTTATGTCACTGTTTTGTTTTCCTTGTTTCTCCTTACCTAAAATCTGAGAGATTAGATTTATCTCACCTTCCCCCTTTCCTGGGGAATTCTTAAGATTGCTTTTAATGCTTTTAATGCCTACGTGTTCTAACTCAGAGAGTTCCTGTGAGGTTTTCTTCATTCTAAGTCATGAGTTTGCCATGAATTTGAGGTGAGCCTAGGCTATAGAGTGAGATTCTGTTACAAAACTAAACCAGACCCAAAGCAGAACAAAATAATAATAATGTATATTTTATAGGGAGCCAAGATAGTCTTTACATTTAAAAATTTTTTTATTGGTTATTTTGTTTATTTACATTTCAAATGTTTTCCCCCTTCCTGGTTTCCTCTGGTCGAACCTTTCAGGAGACATCCATATCAGACTTCTGTCAGTAAGCACTTCTTGGCATCTGCAAGAATACAAGACATAGAACCTCCAAAGATACCACTGAGTTCTTTTTGTGTTGGCTGTCTCTTAATAGGCCTCATAAGAATAGGTTATATACCCAGAGAGACTCTGTTGGAGAAAATCAATTCTTTATTGGTAAGTAGTTATCAATTGGACATAGCTCTGGTTTAGGGATGAAGGCTTGTGTCCGTTTCTCCTCTCAGCAATGGGGCTTGATCTACAGTCTCTGCGAGTTCATGCAGCCTATTTTCTTGGTGCCTTACATCACCACTGATAATCTTTTTGCTTATCTTCTGCAATGTTCCCTGAGCCCAGAAAGGAGGGATTTGATGGAGACATCCTACTTAGGTCTGAGTCTTTATTCTCATTCTCTGCACAATGTCTGACTGTGGATGTCTGTATTTGCTCCCTTCTCCTGCAAGAGGAAGCTTCTCTGATGATGACTGAGTGAGGCACTGATCTGTGAGTATAGCAGGATGTCAGTAGAAGTTGCTTTATTGATATGTTCTTTTTTTCTTTTTTATTGGATATGTTCTTTATTTACATTTCAAATGTTGTCTCTTTTTCCTGTTGTTCCCCCAAACTGTCTCTTTCGTCTCCCCTCCCCCTGCTTCTATGAGGGTGTTTCCTCACCCACTCACTCACTCCCACCTCCCCACCCACTCCCACCTCCCCACCCTGGCATTCCCTTACACTGGGGTATCGAGCCTTCACAAGACCAAGGGCCTCTCCTCCCATTGATTCCTGACAAGGCCATCTTCTGCTACATATGTGGCTGGAGACATGGGTCCCTGTATGTGTACTCTTTGGTAGGTGGTTTAGTCCCCGGGAGCTCTAGGGGTCTGGTTGGTTGATATTGTTGTTCTTCCTATGGGGTTGCCAACTCCTTCAGCTCCTTCAGTCCTTTCTCTAATTCCTCCCTTGGGGACTCCGTGTTCAGTTTAATGGTTGTTTGTGAGCTGTGTTTGCCTCTGTATTTTCAGGCTCTGGCAGGTAGAGCTACGTTCTTTTAGCAGAACACTAGTCTTATTTAATATCTAGAGCCAGTTTTATGAAGCAGCTTTCTTCTGCTTTGTTCTTTTGGGATTGTTTATTTTTCTTTTGGATATTGGATATTCTTTCCAAAAGAATATAGGCTGGTCTGGAGCCAAGATTCTCCCTGCCTCTGTCTCCCAAGTGCACAGGTTGCTGTAGGTCATCTGACTTTTTTTTTAACCTGTTTTGCTTCATTCTGCCTTTATTCAAAACTGCCTTAACCCCCACTCCAACTTTACTATTCTCAGCCTCTACATTTCCCTCTCTGATTTTTAGAATCATCTTGCTAATATCCCCACAATATCTTGCTATGAAATTAACCGGAGTTGCTTTAACTCTGTGGTAGGAAGAAATACTATCTTGTCAATACTGAGCTTTTAAAAATATTTATTTATTTATTTATTTATTTATTTATTTATTTATTTATTTAAATGTTATAAGCACTGATTGGTGTATTAGCTGCATATATGTCTGTGGGAGGGTATCAGAACCCTTGGAACTGGAGTTACAGATAGTTGTGAGCCATTATTTGGGTGATGGGAATTGAACCTAGATCTTCTGGAAGGACAGCCAGTACTCTTAACTGCTGAGCCATCTTTCCAGCTCTGATACTGAGTCTTTCAATCCACAAATGTGGAATATTCATTAATCTTTTGATTTTTGAAATGAGAGTTTTTTGTTTTTCCCCACAAAAAAACTTAGATATATTTTGTTTAGTTACCTATTTTTTTTTAAAAATTGTGTTCTAATTGTGATAAATAGATTGATATGGTTTATTTCAGATAATCTATGCCCCTTTCTGTCTAGCTGGTGGCTGGTGCCTGCTTGCTTGTTTCAGAAATCAGATAGTTGGAAGGTTACAGAGCGTGTGCCAAGTGGTTGAGACCACCATTAGAAAAAGCAGGCAGCCTTAATTCCCAAATCACTAGATAAAACTTTGTATCCTAAACCAGTGACAGGGAATCTGGGAAGCCAGCAAGTGCTGCTGGCTTCTAAGAGAAAAGGACAGGAATTTCTCAGGACCTAAAAACCACTGTCTTGTGTCAAATCAGCAGGCCACCCATTTTTTTTTTCTTTTTCTCCATGCTGGTGTCTTTTTCTGCAGTATGGTATACTAAACATGGCTGCATTTTCTCAAGTCTTCAGTCTTATTTCCAACACTAGAGCAGTGTGCTACTAAGTTTCAACCACTTGTTAATTGCCCACACATAGGATAATGAAATGGTTTTTGTATGTTAACTTTTGGTCAGACAACTTTTCTGTAATTGTTTTTTATTGTGGAGATTAGTGTTTTCTGTTACTTCAACTTTTCTGTATAAGTAAACTTTGTTAGCTGCAAAAAGGCAATTTCATCTCTTTTTCCAATAAGCATCTTTTATTTTCTTTTATTGTCTTAGGGCATATGTAGAGCCTGACACTGAATGCTTTTAATTTTTAGTAGTTGGACCTTTCAGACTTTAAAAAATTGCTTTTGGTTTATACTTAAAAAAAAGTCTTTCTTATACTATTTCAAGAATAAATTTTACATTTCCTTTAAATACTTTTCAGTTCTATTTTCTGCCTTGACAACATCCATATAAAATTTATGATGTAGGATAAATTCCAAAACTGTATTTCCTATACGTATTTAGTCTTGTTGGTTGCCATTTTAAAGGGATATATTATTTTACAACAGATTCCTGCATGTGTTTGAACTTTGTTTTGACATTTCTAATCTGATCAGTTACTGTATCTGTCCTTCACTATCTCATTTTTACTTACCATTATTAGATTTGCTTTTAGGCTAGTTTCCTTTTCCATCATCTTTTGCAGAATTGCTCTTGTTATTTTTGTGCATTGTCTTTCTCATGTGAACTTTAGAAATGGCCTGAGTACTTTAAAATTATTTGGATATTTCAGTACTATATTAAGTTTGTGTACATGTTATTGTCATGAAATAGAGTACTCCTGCCAAAAAATATGATGACTTTCTAGTTGTTTAAGTATTTTCTCTTTTAAACTTTCAGGTCTTAAGTAACTTAAAGCGTTTCCTATCAGATCTTGCACATTTGACAATGTTTCCATGAGAGAGTGGGTGCATTTCCTACTTACTCTTTTCATAGATAAGAACCATCCATTTCTGGGTGCTTATTATTTTGCTCTTCCATCCACTTTAGTCAGTTTACTTGTTCATAAACACTTTTTTGAAAAAAATTTATTTTTTAATATTCATTTCTTTTATGAGTATTTATGCTTGCCTACATGTATGTCTATGAGCTGTGCTTGAGCCTAGTGTCACTGCAGGTCAGAAGAGGGAGCCAGATCCCCTATAACTACTGGAGTTACAGTTGTTTGTGAGTCACCATGCTGGGAGTGGAACCTGGATATTCCACAGGGACTTTGCTTTAAAATTCTGAGCCATCTCTTCAGAGTCTACGAGAAATTCTTTACTCAGTTCTTCTTAGTCATCCAGGAACATAGTGGTATTTGGAATATTTGGGTTCTTCTTTTCTGACTTACTGGTCTCTGGGTTTTCCCTCCTCTATAGCCTTACTCATTATGCTGGGGAGCAGTGACTCAGAACTGGGAGGCAGAAGCTTCATCATGTTGACAAACACACATTCTATGCACAATTGTTTTATTAAAGGTTTAAGTTAATGTGAAGTGTTAAAATCCATAAACCTTTTCTATAAAACTTTGCAGAATAAGGCTTGGTGTGGCAGTCCGTGCCTTTGAACCCAGCACTTAGGAGGCAGAGGCAGAAGCAGGTGAATCTCTGTGGGTTCATGAGTTCAAGGCAAGCCAGGTCTACATAGGGATTCCAGGAGAGTCAGAGCTGCATAGTGAGACCCTGTCTAAAAACCAAAACTCCAAAAACCAACCAACCAACCAACCAACCACCACCACCACCACCACCAGAGAACTTTAGAGAATAATACACAGTATATAGTAAGAAACAAGGTGTAAAATAATATATTTGATGAAATAAAAATTTTAAAAGTTCTCAAAAGATAAATTATGCTCTTATGTTTTGTAGCTGAGTAAAAAATCTAAAGTTGCTTTAAACAGGTACACTTGAACTTGGAAAACATTGTTTTCTGGAACTTACATGTCATCCTCCTAGAACAGAAAAAAATGTAAAGAAACAATTCTCATGATCTTATTTTCAGCTGAAATTGTATTTTGGCCTTTCAGCTTTTATTTATATGCTTTAGAAAATAGGCTCTGTACAAGTTACCTCCAAGATGCAGATAGAGTGTCCACAGTAAAACTCCAGGCATCTTTTGATCTTGTGTTCCTTTCTGCTTCCCTCCTAGCTTTCTCAATTCTTTTATTGCAGTGGCATAAATATACTTTACAGAT